CTACTATGACAAAAGTGTCAACAATACTAAAGGCAAAAATATTTTATATCAATCATTCTTTGACTTGAGTGTGGCACATATTTTTGCTTAATATATTGGTAAAATATACTTGAATAGATCCAAAACAATTGTTAGGAAAGAACTAAGTAATATGGTAGCGAAAAAGGGATTCCATATATTTTAATTGAATAATTGCTTTTGTATGAATTCCTTATTTCAACTCATCGTTCTTTTCCAAATGTTGATTCTATTTATTTTTTATATTTTGATGTAAACGTTCACTTCAAGACAATATATTTTAATTAGAGATGAAATGAATAGCAGTTTAGCCGGATACCAGCTATTTGGTCAACCTTGCAGCCAGATATTAGGCCGCCGAATTCATTTTCTAAGTTGTACAATTATTGAATGATTACTGATTGTATTTCTTAATTCAAATTGAATAAAGCAATCAATTACGGTGAAAGACCATTCAAGTGTAATATAAAGCTATTAGCTATTGGCTATTAGCCAGGAGAGTAACCAGACTACGATTTAATAATTAACGCGAAATTACAGCATTTCACAAGAATTTATTACTTCATTAGTAAAAATCATTTTCCAGTTTTGCATTGTTTACTATTCTGTGATTTTGCCACATAATTTAAATTTCAGTGTTCTGTGGACAAAATCAAACTCAATCGATCTACTGTCACAGCACAAAATAAAAACAATTGCTCTCTTGATATAAATTTTTAAATTTGTCATAGTCATAAATCAATTTAATTATAACAACATTCTAATTTATCGCATTGTGAGAAAAAAGGATAATTGACTGATTTTTTTTATTTCCTAATGGCTACTGGTGAATATGAATGCCTAATCAAACAAGAGGTAGGGCCCATTGGTGATGAAACAGATACCCAAAATTCTGAACAAAAATGTGATCCATTTGAAGTAAGTCTCTCAAAGAATGAATTAGAGCTAGAACAAATCAAAAGTGAAGAATTCATTGACGTTGTTGATCACCACATTAAATCTGAGAAGGTCCAGGAAGAACTAAATGAAGGGTTATTTTGTGAGGTGTGCAAAGGAGTTTTCAGTTCAACCGATTTTCATATTCCTGATGGGTTAAGATTGAACTGTAATTGTCCATACCAAAATAAGACTAATGATATTCAAGGTAATAATATTAAGAAACTCAAACCTCTTAGCTATGGCTCAGGCAACATTTATTTTAGCATGAAAAAAGTAAGCTTTTTGATATGTTCATATACTTTATTTTTGTAATGTCGAATTGACATGTTTATGATCAAAGTAGTGCTCAATTTAGATGGTGTAAAACTCATTCAGTGGCCTTCTCAATAGCTATGTTTTTTGATAACAGAAATGGCCAATCTCATTGTTTTATGCTCTTTGATTCCTCTTCCAGTTGCTACTTTTCATTCCATCTCAATCGATTGAATCTTCTGAATGAAGTAATGGGAAATGTGAAATCTAAGATTATTTTTCATAATACTTAATATTGATAATGTTATTCTTACCCTTTTTTTGTGGAAGTAATTCAGGTTATTGTACCGGTTCTGGTTGTAAACCAAAAAAACATTCTGTAGATATTGCTCACAATATGTTAATGCCAAGTTCTTCTATGAGGAGCAAAACCTGGAATTAGGTTTCAACCGATATTATTTAAATAAATTCAAAAGTGTACTATTTGCATTTCTTGCATGCATGCATTTTATTCTGTGGAAGGGTATTTAGTTTTCATGTTTCCATTTCATGATGTTTTTAATATTAATTTTATAGTGTCTTAGGTAGAAACAAAATATATTGGTAAAATATTCTTGAATAGACTCAAAATAATTGTTGGGAAAGAATTAAGTAAAATGGTAGTGAAAAAGGGATTCCATACATTTTTATTGAATAATTGCTTTTGTATGATTTCCTTGTTTTAACTCATTATTGTTCTTTTTCAAATGTCAATTTGCTTTGTTTTTTATATTTTGATGTACACGTTCACTTCAAGACAATATATTTTAATTAGAGATGAAATAAATAGCAGTTTAGCCGGATACTGGATATTTGGTCAACCTTGCAGCCAGATATTAGGCCGCCTAATTCATTTTCTAAGTTTTACAAATATTGTTTTAACCGGTTTTCGGCCGGATAGGCATTTGTTATCCGGTATGCTGCTGGATAGGCAGCCGTTTGTTGTATTCATGTACGCATGTATTTTTTCCAAGTTGTCTATTCTACGTATTTGTCATTAATATAATTTATTTTGGAGTTTCATTTGCTGTTGTATTTATCTAACATTTAGTTTTATTAATATTCAGTTGAAGTAATGTGAATGATTAACATGACAAATATACAGAGTAACCAACTCAGAAAAAACACATCTTCTCCAAATAAAATCCCCATTTTCACTCAATTTTATTAGCTTGTCCATGAATTTGTCCAATTTTCCATTTGTCCATAATGGTTTTGTCTGTTCATGTATATAATTTGATAATATGTTAGTTATTGTGTTGTGTTGTTCTGATTCTGAAGTGATGTTTCTACATTTTTTCAATACATATTTCATGACAAAATGTAATGGCATAGTGATGTGAAATAAATTGCTCTTTTACATAATACCATTTTCTTACAGATCCTGGAATCATTCATTTCAAAATTCAAGAAGAATCAATCGATCAGAAGAAAAAAGATAGTTTTGATGTATTATTCAGTCCTGAATACTATTCGAATTCAATTGAAGAGAAAAACGAAATTGAGACAAAAAATTGGAATAAAGAAACTGATACGAAATCTGTTGAAAACAGGTCTACAAGGAAGATTCCATTTCATTGTAAAATATGTTCAAAAGCATTCATTCGAACTTGTGATTTGAAAGCGCATGAAAGAACACACACCGGTGAAAGACCATTCAAGTGTAATTTGTGCTTCAAATCTTTCGCTCAGCGTGGAACTTTGAGGTTGCATGAGAAATCTCACACTGGTGAAAGGCTGTTTAATTGTAGCATCTGCTCAAAGTCATTCATTCATCTGACAAATTTGAAAAGGCATGAAAAAACTCATACTGGTGAAAAACCATTTCTATGTAAAATCTGCTCAAAATCTTTTGTTCGTAAGTCAAGTCTCGTGATTCATTTAAGAAGCCATAGCGGTGAGAAACCATATAATTGTAAAAATTGTTCAAAATCTTTCAGTCAGAGCGGTAGTTTGAGATCTCATGAGAAAGTTCACACTGGAGAAAAACCATATCAGTGCAAATTTTGCTCGAAATCGTTCAGTCAAAATAGTTCCTTGAAATTACATGAAAAAACGCATACTGGAGAAAAACCATTTCAGTGTAAATTATGCTCAAAATATTTCACTCAGCGTGGAACTTTGAGATTGCATGAAAAAACTCACACTGGTGAGAAACCCTTTCAGTGTAAAATCTGCTTAAAGTCATTCATTCAAGTAACAGATTTAAAAAGACATGAAAAAATTCATACGGGAGAAAGACCATTTCAGTGTGAAATCTGNGTGCGAGCTAAGGACTAACGAGGTCTTACCTTTTAACGTGTGATTCCTAACACGGATCCCAATATAGAACCTTGTGAGATTCCATTCTTCGTGTGCAGTGAAGCCAATATATTGGAGGATAGGAATTAACATATGTTCAATGTGGTCAAGGGCTTGACTAATCAAGCATTACTAAAGTAGTCAACTGTCTTTTGTCGATCGACCTAAAGATACCATAGGTAATATTCAGAAGAGCAGTAACATAGCGGTGTTGAGATCTGAATCTCTACTAAAACTTGGGAATAATAATGTTCGAATCTAGGTGAAACTGATTCTGGGAAAATATAATTTTTCGAACTCTTTGGATAGTGTACACAGTATGCTTATTTCAAATCAGTAAATGATATCTGAAAGAAATATATGAAGAATGCAGAAGTCGAAGATGAATTTGAATTTTTTGAGTGATTGAAGATTTAGTTGTGACAGCTTGAGAAATGGTTCTTATGGAGATTCTGTGAAACATGTTCTTCCTTAAAAATCGGTAGAGTTATCCTGAAAATCTAGAGAAGAAAATTGGATTGAATAATTTAGGAAACACTTGCTATGTGAATAGCATTTTACAAGTGTTGTTCATGACGAAGAATCTCAAGAACGAGGTTTTATTGATGAACGAGAACGGAAATGTTTCCTACTTATTCATCATACTCAAACACCTGTTCATGCAGCTGCAGAATGTATCATCTTTTCCTCCAACCGATTTCCTGGAGTCTTTGAAGTCCACTAGATACTCGTTAGGACAACAAGAGGATTGTTCCTAATTCTTGGGGTTCTTGTTGAATACTCTTCGTGAGCAGAACAATAGCAAAATCAATACTCCTGACCGCTCTGGACTGAATGATT